AACGTAATTGCCTTCGTACTGCATTCGTTATGCAGTGTGAACGTGGATAACATACACTTTTGGGAAAAGGAAGTAGCGACATTGTTGTGTCAACGGAAGCAGGGGCATTAATAATCCCTTTTTTATGTTGGCATTATCCGGACGCAGAACTTTGAAAGACGTGACAAGCACGTTTTTTTTTTCCAACCTTATCAAATTGCCGCGTCGCTTATACTTGCGCGAATTAATGCTTCATGGTTTGCTATTCTCTCTTTTTCTTTCTTATGTCCTCATCATGACCCCTGCTTTTTTTCACTACTTCCCTGTTTGCACCTATTTCTCCCTGCTTATGCTTCTGGTGCATGTGATTAGTTGTTTTCCGTTCTTCTCTATAAGCAAGGCACTCTTCAATTTTTCGAACTGCATTCCCAATTCGCTGTTACTTGATATTCCTGTTACACGCGATGGTAAAGCGACTCAAATCTGTAAGTACTGAAATTTTAAAGCACCGACCTCCATTGACAAAGTGAACAAAATACGCAACGTTCACAACTAAAATCGTAGTATAGCACAAGATACTAGGCTTCGGTTTCATTCTGACAACTGTATGAAACCGGGAAGATTGCAATGTCTCAATTTAATTAGCAACCGCTCTCACTGAACGGGATTACCGAAAATCAAGGATAAACCGATGACACTGTCGATGGAAATTGCCGGGATTGATGGGAACTTCGTTTTCATGTGTTGCGACACGATGTATTCCTTCGCCTCATTCGGAGACGGACAGGTAACAGGTGACTTAAAACAGTAGTTTCTGTATATGCAAGGCATCCCATATCTGTTGAACAGGAACATTAAGAATGGTCGCATCAGCTCCGACCTGCAGCCCAGATATGGGACAGAAAGTAGTAGTTAATGAAATGCAATGGATGTGGGACGGCTACACACTCAGTCTGATCACCCAACAGTCCGAAGTAACTGTGCATAGGTAGACAGACATCGAATACACCTCGATACTGGGTGGATCTGCTTGTAAGTTGAAACAACACGCTGAGGGCAGCCTGATGTTCTGCATCGGCAAGGAGTGAACATATATGTGTTTTGGCGAGATTACGAATTTGCTTCTGTACTGGTCGTGTTGAATCAAATCTGTCCAGAAAGTTGTGTGCTTCCCCAATTGTTCTTCCACCCAGAATATCGCCTGCTAGCATTGGAACAAGTGTTGTCATTTTCGTTAATGTTACGACAAGTTGTTCTTGGTCAAAATCCGCCAAATTTAATAGCACTGTTGATAATTACATTTGAAATGAACGTTTTTGAGGGCCTCATATGTTTGACCATTGATGATATAGTCCATTTTCTGGATATTGGACACATTAGACTGATTGATACTGAATCCGATATCAATCTACAATTCATTTTGTTGCTCAATATTGGATGCATAATACTGTCAAGTAGCTGACTTTTCCATGGCTCAGTTACTGTCTGCTGCATTCCGACAAGTTGAGTCAAAGCTGAGGATAGTGTGTCTGGATAGTCTCGTGCCAGATAATCAATGGGTAACTGTACAGGATAGCCTCCAAGTACTACTGGCAAATTTCCCGACTTCCAAATAACCGTTTCCCGACTTCCTTAAGACGAAAGCTTCTGCTTCTGCACCTATTGTAATTTCACTACAGGTGCCACTCTCCGTAAGG